TGAAAATGCAGGAGACCAATTGGGGACAGAACATTGTTTGTACATAACAGGAAGTGCCTGAAGAAAGTCTGCCATAGCAGGAATGCCAGGTATTGTTTTAATGAAAGCTGCAGATAGTACATTTACATGGTAAAGCTTATTTGAGATTTTAGAGATTGCTTGTAGGTCTAAATTGAAACACACATCTTGATTTGGCATTTATTATCTGTGACAAGTCTGATCTTGGACACAAATGGCACACTGTTGCAATGCTATTTCCGCCAACACAGGTATGCATGTATGGTGATGTGCATTCATCATCATGCCTCATAGACATGTTGGAAGTGGTTACAATGTATTTCCATAGATTTTTATTAGTGATTGCTGGTGCTGACTGCAGAGAACCTGGACTCAGTTTTTCTAAAAAGGCATCACATAGAAACAGGGCTGGGTTTCCCACAAGGCCAACCGAGGCCCGGCCTCGGGGCGGCAGGGAGCAGAGGGGCAGCAGGGGTGTGGCAAGCAGGGCTATGTGTAGAGCTGCACTCGCAGCCTTCCCATCTCAGCTGTCACAGGAGCTGTCGCAGAACTCCTGTATTGGTGGTGACAGGTTAAATAAAGAGAACCTGTCACCCCAAAATGCTATTACACGGGGGCTTGTTAGCTGCTGTGTGATAGCAATAAGGTTAAGTGAAAAAAATAAATGTATTAAATTATAAAAATTAAGTAAAAAATAATAATTAAAATAAAAAGGTGATTAAAAAAGTAAAAAAAATATTTAAAGAAAAGTAAAAAATAATAAGATATAAACATGATATTATTGCATAGCAATGCAAATTCCCTGGATTTTCTTGTGTGTACTCTAAATTGGAAAAATATTGGCACTATTTCTGGAGCCATGACAATGCAGACTATATGGGAACCCAAATGATAAAAAAAGGGTGCATGTGGTGGTCTGTTGTTTTGTAGTGCCCTTGGGTCAATGGAAATGGGCAGCTATGGGCAGCAACCTCTTTCTTTTCCCCGTAGCTTATTTCAGCCATTTTCATTGATTTAACTCATTATTATGCAATGTTGTGCATTAAAAGACCTATTAATACTATCCTGTGTTTAAAAAAAGAAAAAAAAAAGTATATCCTGGGGTAGGCAACCTCGGCACTACAAATCCCTTGAGCGATTGCATGGCTCCCAGAGGCAGATGCATGATGGGATATGTCAAAATCCCATTATGGATCTGCCTCTGTTGGTAGCGACCTACATAGACTTATACTGTATCCTCCACCCCACCCCTGGTCTTCCATCTGCCTCCTCCTTTCCAGATTATGAGTCGTGGATTCTCCACATCTGGCGTGCCAAGGTTGCCCACCCCTGGTGTATCCTGTACCGAATTATGAAATAAAAATGCCAACTTATTTGTACTTTATTTTGGAACAATGGCTGATCTCTCACCCCTTCTGTGGATGGTACTTTTATTGGGTTGTACCATGTTTTATGTAACATAAGCCTTCAAATTAAGTTATAAAAAGGGGTATTACTGAATCTGTAACAAGCATTACAGACACTCTTCACTCACAACAATTGCGTTCTGTTCCTACGACAAGGTCGTTAAGCGAATTGGTCGCTAAGCGAGGAATAGAGGAAATTAACTCCTAATATACGGTACATAATGTGGTATGAGTAAGATGTTTTAACTTGGAGGGAGGCAGTTACTTTTGGAGTTCAGGCTGTTGTAGACCTTTTGCCTATGTATGGGGCAAATCTCAATCCCATTGCAAGTTGATATCAAGCATCACAGAGATAATCCAGGTGTTTGGGTTGGACTTCTATTAAACTAATTTTTCCATCTGGCTGAGATTCTAGACTATATGTTGGTAGCTACCTACTTAGACTTTTACGGAATCGTCCTCCCCGCCCTTCGTCTTCCATCTGCCTCCTTCTTTCCAGATTATACGAGTCGCGGATCCCCCAATTTGTCGCCTGTCTGAAAAACAGACTCGCAGGAGGAGAGTGGAAGATTGTATTACTGATAGTCTTGGGTTTATAAATGGAATAATCTATTCCTGCTCTACGTCAGCCCAACAGAAATAGTTTGAGAATAAAGAAATTGGGCCAGATAAACAATTGTCAGTGCGCCCAATATTTGGCGCATGGAAACCTGCTTTTTTTGGATGCGCTAAATAATCCAGTTTGAAAAGAAAGATGGGACTAGTTCACCGACTTATCGCACAAAAGTCTCACTATCTGCGTCGAATAACTAACGGTTCAGAAAATGATTTCAATATTTGGCCCAATAGAGGCGTGCAAAACGGATGATAGCCCAAGGCAAAGTTACACTTTCTATTATACGCCAAATAAACTATATGCTCTGCTACATTATTTGACATGCAGTGCGTCGATATGTCATGTGACAATTCATGTTGCTCCGTTCAATCTTAGTTTATCTGACCCATTGTCTTTTCAATAGCCAGTTACTAAAGGCCAGTCTACCTAAAGCTGATATTTTAGGTTCAGCAGATGCTGGTCCATTGAATTGTTCATCAACATTTTGTACTAAGTTCCCGGCTCCATCCACCAGCCTTTTCAAGGGAGATTTATGTTTGCTGTTGGGTTTTTCCTGCAGATTGTTGAGATTGCAGCAGGAGAATTTTAAGGAAGGCACAGAACTGTAAAGCCCAGCAAGGACTCTCTGAACTAAAATATCTGTTCTTGGTGGACTGACCCTTTTAAGTAGCTTGGGAATTGAGTGCAAATTGCCAGCCATTGGTAATGGAAGCTTTTTATACTGTTACCATATATTAGTGGAATCCCTAACTGTACAGAAAAATGCTAGAACTTAGTCATTTTTAATGCCATTACCTCCTAGGGGTATGGCTATCCATATGACTGCTGTGGTGCCCAAGAGCAGAGAGCCCCCAGTACACTGTAAAACAAGCATGTCTGAATGGTCCCTAATGTTAGGTGGTGGCACTACCATTAAGATGGAACCTGGTGGCATAATGGGCCTCATAATTGCTGATACGGAGAGCCAAATATTTAAGTTACACTCTGTCCACATCACCTCAATGAAGCTGGTAAGAGATAATCCTGTTATGAGAGAAATATGGGTCCTGCCATTGATGACATTTATCTATTTTTTGTTGATTACTTTGAGTCACTGATTTGGAACAAATGTACAGATCAGCAGTCCGAGAAAAAAAAAAACAGTCCTTGTCCATATCACCCTCCTGGGTTTTAAAGACACAAGATCAGTATGACAGACAGGAAACTAGCATTTTCAAACGTCATCTCTGGGGAACTCCATTTTTCTCTCATGACTGGTTTCAAGCAATAGGGTTTGTAAGTCTGGTCAGCTGATGACCTTGATGCCGCCATAGAAGGACTATGCTTTGCCAGAGCTGAGTATATCCTTTTCCCCAGTCTAGTCATGCATGTGTTCATTTCCCCTGGTATTGGTTTGGAGCGGTTGGTCTGAATAATGCCTTTGCAGTCCTGTATGAGTTTCTGAGGAATGTGAGGACAGAAAGACATAGAATGGAATTCATCAAAAGTGGAGCAGACAAAATCTGGAGCAGCTGTGCATGGCAACCAATCAGCCTCTCTCTTTCATTTTCAAATCTTAACTGAACAAACTGAAGAGAGAAGCTGATTGGTTGCCATGCACAGCTGCTTCAGATTTTGTCTGCTCCAGCGTTGATAAATTCCCCCCATAGTTGGCAGACGACATATTTGGGTACCAGTCCAGGCAGATATAACAGAAGGTTTAAGATGACATGCAGACTCACCTAAGAATTTGGAACAGTTTAGACTTCCTCTTCTCCTCCTGATTGGTCTGTCCTATACAAAGCAGAGACTTTGCCATATTATGCCCAATGCACAGAAATAGCAACTGCAATATGTTCTTTATTTCAATTCTTTCATTTCTTCATAGTCAGATATACTATCATACAATGATGCTCAGGAGGGTTTCAGAGGGGAAAATGAGCAAAGTGTCCACTGCATCAGTGTTCATAATTATTGTATCTGCAGTACCAGTTGCTGCCATTAAGTGTACTGGATGCTTGCAATCAGAATTCTGGATCCCTATAAATGGTAATAATAGAAATGCCCTTCTATGTTGGTACCATTAGAATCTAAAACACAAATTGTGGCTAGTGAAGTAACAACAGTCAACTAAACCTATATTTGGCCTACCCATCCCAATAAATGAATACCCAAGTAAAACCTCTCGATAGGTGGATAGATGGATAGATACAAAAAGTAGCCCTTTCCTGCCCATAACGCATCAAGAGGAACTGGACTAAGTTTACACTTGGATATTACAAACCAGATTTATGGCTGGGGCACAACGAAAAAGCCTCCAGCTTCCCAACTGCCCTAAAAGTGAGCAGCATCTTGGTCTATGTGGCAGCAGGAGAGGGGCCCCAGCACCTGTTCAACCCACATGTAGTATAAATATAAAAGTATAACTCCCTAAATGTTTCGAGTGATCCAGTGTATCTCTGACCCAGATAAAAATTTCCTGTTTGCACTGTGACTTTGCTTACTTCTTCATCCAGGTCACTGACTCAGAAAGTATTGAAACCAGAGACAGCCAGGCAAATAGGATTCTACAAAGGAGGTTAGCAATGGCAGCTCACATATTTCTCTCAGTACAGGTTACTTTTAAAGACTGGGTAAGCAGAGAAATCTTTCCAAGGCGCCAGGTTTGCCAGTCTCACTCCTTACCAGAACATTTTTCACTCAACCATACTGTATATAAAGCAATGTTGAGACCCAATCCTTCATGCTCTGTAGGAATATCTGCAGAATCCATCATGGGGCAGGTTACAAACTAAATCTGCACAGGATTTAATGGGGAGCATCCAAGAGTGTTAACCAATTTGTGGTTGATCAGACTTGCATGATTGTAACATAATAAAAGTTCTAAGTTTTGAGTAGACTGGTCCATGATGTCTCAGGGAAGACTTCACAAATTATACATTACTATTACATCTATGACCACACATTTCCCTGTTACTTACGGTCATCGCTGGCTATGGTTTCATCAGGGTCATCATAACTTCCAAACGCTGCTTCCAAGTCTTTATCATATTCCAACTTTTAGAGGAAACAATAGAAATCAGGAAATGAGACAAGCAATAATTTTACGTCACCAATCTACATGGCATACCCATCACTTTACTTCTCTATTGAAATTATTAAAATGGCAGAACTGCAATAGCTGACTGAGTTTAATTAAATGTGGTTCAAGTCTTGTAACAAGTTAATAGCACAGGTATTTGTATGTCCTTGTGTGTTGTGTTTATAAGTGTGAAGTAGGGCTTGGGTTTATATTAGAATATTATCATCAACTATAACGTGTATCATTATATCGCTCACATTTCACTGCACCCCCTATCTTCATTGATAAAACAAAAGTTAGGCATCTATTGGTTGGGCCTATTATCCCTAAATAAACTGTCCTTCTGTAGGCCAATTTTACACTGTTGTAGCTTCTGCAGGATCTTAATTCCTGTAGTAAAACCCCAGCCTTTGCTCTTTGTTGCTAGTAAATTTGGGCCTAGCCTTGCAACTTAAAATTGCCTTGCTGCTGGCTGGTTTGCTATTTCTGTGTCATCTGCGGTCTCTTCATTATTGTAGTAAAACATCTGCCTGTATTCTTTCTTTAGTACTTTTTGGCCAATACTCCCACGTTCAAACTGTCCTGCTGCTGGCCATTTCTGAACTGCTGTATCATCTGAAATCTTATTTGTTAATGAGAGCTTGATAGAGATTGGCCAGAAGCAGGACAGTTTTGCATTAGCAAGAACAGGAACAGCCACAGCAAACTAATGGCCAATTTCTATCTGCCATTTGATGAAAAAGCATGTTACTCCTAAAGCTACCTGAAAAAAGCATTTGATCAAAATGAAATGAATCAGAGTGTGGGATGCTGCTTTATGTAAGCCAAACTAATTGTAAAAGAAAAAGTCAATTCCACAGGCAAATATGTGCTCCAAGTGTATGCTGTCGCTGATGCTGTCTGTGACAGTTGTACTGCTCTATTACACCAGGTACAACTTTAAGGCATCCCCCAAGCATGTTATTTAAAGGAGTTGTGTATTTTCAATGTTGAACTTTATTATGCAAGAAAAGACCCTCTCCCTGCTGTACTTTTTTTATTATTATTATTATTTTCTGCACTGGTGCATGTGCCTCATGGCAGTGCCAAAGTTTTTTTTTTTTTATTGTAGTTTGCCTTTTAGCCCTACTACTGGTCACAACGACCAGATTCTAAGGTTGGGTTTCATGCGCCAAACCCATGGTGAATCAAACCCAGGCAAAATTACCCATTACTACTTTCAATGTACTACTTTCTACTTCCATTGCCCATTACTATGTCAGTGTATGTGATTCAGTCATGTGCCAGTCCTGGGCCAATCAGCACTGTTATACGGGGAATCCATAGCCCCGTGTGAGCTACCACAATAGTGACTCATAGCTTGCAAAAGACCTTTCTTTTGCTCAAAAGGGGAGGGCTAAAATGGAGCAAAGTATATTTTGCTAGGGAGGGCTTAATTAAATTTGAATCTGTTGTATTGGCAAAGTGCAGATTCACTTTAAGTGGTGCCAAAGGCAGTACCAATTATTGTCAGAGGTACACTACTATATTTGCCTAGTGATCTTTCTTGGCTAACCTATGTACAACTACTGTATGTACTAGTCATTTGCACAGTTTTGTACTTTACCAGTTTCTACTCACTTTAGACGTCATGTCAGCTGGTTATTTCCCTGACTGTTCCAGTGCCCAACGAGGGATGAACATTACACAAGGGCTTAGTCCTGCAGAGAGACCAAACAAAATCAATGGTCAGTAAGTAGGGTAAGACATACCTTTTTATAATTTATCCAACATTAACAAAAGTGGGTACATTGCAATGCTTACCCAGATATGCACTTAGCCATCAGAGTAATCAGTTTGAGGTGCATTTCAATGGGTTAGCATCACCCATGGTCAAAAACTCTTGGCCATCACAGTCTTATCCTCTCTGTTTTTAAAGAATGTGAATTTTAAAGAATGAGAATTTTTCTGTATCTAACAGAGCAGCCATTTTAGTCCTATTCGAAGATAAAGTAATGCCATATGGCTATTAGTAGAACTCCTTTGACAGTTGTCCATGTTGGAAGATATCCCTTCTAATCCTGTCCTGGTGACCATGCTCACAGGGACACAAAGCAATGGGTCTTTCCCAAATGGGCACAGAGTGAGGAATAACAACATGACAAAGGTTCTAGACCAGCATTTCTCAACCTTTTTTCAGCCACGGCACCTTTTAAAAGTAAACAAAATCTTAAAGCACCCCAGTCTAAAATGTAAAAACTGTAAATTATGCGGGGTCCTTCCAAAAATCTATACCAGATCCTTATCCCAGATATTTAAAGGGGGGACCCCATGCAAGAACACATTCAGAATGTCACCTTTCACATAAGAGTATCCATTCTGACAAGTTGTTCAATAAAATTAGCATTTGGTGATTCCAAAAGGATCTTCGGTGTGCTGGTGACATCTTTCACATTTATCTTATGCATACAGCGGTGCCATCTGCAGTCATTACGAGCACCCTTCCCATTACATGGGATCTCTGGTAAGGAGTGCGACAAGAACCTTTCTACTTTCACATAAGAGCCCCCTTTACATCAGGAGCCCCTGACTTTCACATCAGAACCTTCCCACACTAGGATACCCTCTTCAAATCAGAAGCCCCCTTCACATCAGAGGCATGATGCTGTGTGAAAATTTTGAGGCACCCTGGTTAAGAAAGGCTGTTGGAGACCTTCCCTAATTAAAAACTATAAAGAAAAGCATGTCTGAATTTCTAGTTTAACTGCATTAAGGTCACCTTTTTGCCTAATGCAGCAGGTTGGGCAGTATATAGAGAGAAAAAAATACTTGGCCCATTCCTTATGTTATTCTATTTCATTGTTCACATTTAGAAGGATCGGAGTGGCCACATTGGATGACTGTTAAGCTGAACTAGGCACTGGAAAACTATGGGATATAGTGGTTTATGTCTGGGCAAAATAATCAAACAATTCATCCCCACACAGCTACCTCCTCATGTATCACTGGCCCCTTCCTTTTAGATTGTAAGCCCTCAGGGACAGGGCCCTCCTTACCATCTTGTCTTGAATTGTATTGTGATTGTAATGTCACTATTATAAAGCGCTGCGCAAACTGTTTGGCGCTATATAAATCTTGTATAATAATAATTAAAATAAAACATAGTAGATCTCTGGAATACATGCGCATTTCTTCAGTTTGTGTCTATAAAAACACTGCAAGTACAGAAAAATACCTGCTGATCTGCAAGAAATCCAGCATCCAGTAAGTACAATATTTTTTTGTACTTGCAGAGTTTTCAAGATAAACATTGGGCAATGTGAATGTATTGCAGGGGTGTAGTGACTGTTTTTTTTACCAGACATATTCTTTAAGCTGTATTATCTTTTAAAATGTTCTATGGCGACTAAACACTTTTGCATCTTCGGTTGTCTAACTGCACAAAGATATACTGTATGTTGTTGACTACATCTTACGTTCACAGACCTCTCTGCATGTTGTATGATAAGATGATGTAGCGGCAGGGAACTCCCAACTACGTGAGAGCCAAGATAAGACTAGAAGAGGAATCCCCACCACACCCATCTGACAAAATACCCAAAATGTTTTTTACGTAAGCTTTGCTCTTTGTCATCGTATTTGTGGCTGTACTTTGACCATTCACATAAATGACACACTTAAGGCTGTATAAAGGAGGTTGAGTGCAGTTGTTACCCCTAAACTGGTTCTTTAGGGGTAAAGGGAGAATGAGATTCTGAACGGTTGGTATGGGCAAAGACCCCATGCCAAACTTAATGGAAGCCAAAGAGATTTATGTATCAGAATATCTACATCATAAGTAGCCAGACAGTCATATATATGTATTGTATTTAAATTCTATAGCTTGAAAGAAGTCATGATCATTGGGTCAAATATAGGAAACTAGACCTTTATTCTGTATACATGGGGTCATAAATATTAATGCTTGAAGACCTTGATCTGTAAATGCCATAGGCATTAATGTTTATAAAAATACAAGTGACCTAGACATCAATGATTAACTCATGCCAACCAGTCAAATTCAATCTTATAGGCCAAACAGCAACAGCAATTGGTTTTTCAGGATCCATCACCTGGTTCTGACGGCCTTGCAATGATTTAAGCTCAACTCTTATTGGTTGCTGTAAGGTAATGCATGCCAATGCTAGTGTATGGGTTTGTATCCCTTAATGCCTATGGCTCTCTGAATACTTTAGGTGATGAGTACAAGATGGTGCACCTTACCAAAATGTCAAGAACCAAGTACTGTTTTTACATATATTATATATCAAGACCCTTACAGTAATCCATGTGCATTAATGTATAACGACCCCCTATGCATAATGTATATACTGTAGGAAATGGTGCTTCCCAACCCAGACCACAGGAAGCTATAGACATCTTTGTTTCTGGACCCTGTGGCCATATACAGTATATACAAATACGTGTGTTCTAGCATATACACATTTCTCCTCTTGGCCCATCAACTTCAATTTCTTAACATCCAATTCTTTATTAGAATGTAGGGCCACTAGATATCAATCAGTCATAGATGTACACTGATTCTTTCAAGATCCATAATTAGCCTAGACATGTATGTATTAAGATAATTTCTGTATAATTACATCTTAATACATTGAATCTTTCAAGATGCATAAGTACTGTAGACATGGATGTATTAGGATCCTTTCTGTACATTTGAATACATAGTCTTAACAGTCCACAGAGTCTTCAGAAAGGATATCGTATCTGGGCCATTGGCTACTGGTATTCTATAATTCATTCTAATTCTTGTGTCTCCCCCACCCCTGCACCTCCGCCACCACGACGAGCATTTCATGTTGTGTTTAATGCCTAGAAATTGCATTTTTTTTTTTTAATGCTCATTGTTCCATTTTGTGAAGAGTTTATATGTGACTACAGTTGTTAATATAGGGGAGCTCACATTGCATAAGGGCCCGGAAAAGTTTCGTTATGGTCTTGGACATTGGTACCCCAAGAGGTACACAGGGATCTATAGATTTAATATTTTAATATTCTTTCTCCAGTGACATGGGAATCTCTAAATATCAATGACCTACACTTGAATATCTGGACTCCTGGTGTGGAATCTCGCTAAAATACCCTGTACTTGAGTCATAAGAATTGGGTTTAAAATGACACTAAACTCCCAAATCATCCCTGAATTGGTGCTGACACTGTCCTTCCTTCTGGAGGGGGGCTACTTTTGTTTCCCATGGTCCCTGTGTGTGTTGTAAAGTAGTCACCGCTCCAAGCTCGCTTCCATGATGGACTGCAACCTCAATACATCTTAGTAAACTAACATGAGGTTGTAGCCCATCATGGAAGCGAGCTTGGAGTGGTGACTACTTTACAACACACCTAAGGACCATGGGGAACAAAAGTAGCCACCCTCCACAAGGATGGACATGGTCAGAACCAATTCAGAGATGATTTGAGGATCTACAGCCCAGTGATACACAAATAAGATACCTTTTTGTTAAAAGTTGGGGGACTTGAATGTATTTTTAAGGTACTCAAGTTTGGTGTCACTTTAAGATGGCTGTTTATTGCTAACTGCAGTAGGCAGAAATGGCTGGGAAGCTCACCTTGCCCTAGCCTGGATACATTTGCAATGTTGCTTATATTATCTTCAGGCTGTATAATCAATGGGTTCTGATGACACAATTATAGTGACATCATTTACAGGACGAGCCAATGGGCCCTAAAAGCCAAATGCCTACTTTTGATGCCAAGGTCTGGGTGCTGTGAGAGCCCCACCTGGGAGTGTGAGCTATCAGTGCTGATAGTTTTAGCACCCTGCAAAGTAAGTGTGGCCTTGTGGGCGTTACTCACACCACTTGCATTGCTTTAACTGCATGTTGGCGTGTGCTAAACGCACCTGAGTTGATGCGCATAGACGTGTTTTTTTTTCCTTCTTATTTGGTTGACAGCTGGAGCCAAAAATCCTTTTTTTCTTGCCTTAATGCTTGTTAAGTTAAGTTTGAGCTCTGCCACCTTTCTTCCTAGGCCCTTCAAAAAATAATAGTGAGCCTCTAATCCACAGAGCTACTCACAATGGAAATAGGTGCAGGGTGGCCACAGCTAGAGTTCTGCCTTTTTAATAGGTGAAAATCTGGGTTCAGGTTCTTGTAATCCCTGCACACCTAGACTCAGACTAGGGGAGGAAGAAGCATTACAAGGAGCCAATCAGGAGTGCTGCATGCACATGTGTGTCAGGGTTAGGAAGCCGAGTTGATTTCTTATCAGTGTCCGGTACCTCCTTCATTGTCCAATCAACAGGTTGTGAGCGGGGAGGTGACACCACTGAATTCTTTAATTCTAACAAAAACAATGGAGTCACCTTTCTGGCTGTGCAAAGATGTATGAATCACAAAAGTGGCTGGACAGCGTTGCAAATCATTGGGCAGGTAATACTATTCATATTGGGTATATTTTTAGCTGTGTAATTGTTTTGCCTGGTGCAAGCACCTCTCAGTGCCTACTTTTTCATTCGTTAATTCTTCTTTATTGTTTTCATCCTGGCATAGGTCTGCATTAAGACACTTTTCAGAATAATACCGAATGTATACTGTATACTCTTTGTAGTATGAACCTGATTACCTTTAGTATACTGTATACACAAACTCTTTGGTGATATTCCTCTACAATATTTTACTGATGTAGTATGATACTTGTATTG